TCAATTATAATTAAAAGAATATAAAAAAAATTAAGAATGTTAAAGCCCGGTGCTACGCACCGGGTTAGAGACTAGTTAATGGAGTTAATTATAATACGCTAGTCTCTGTCACAAAAAAAGTAACAGGCCCCATGAAATACCTCTGCTGACGCAGAGTATTTCATGGGGCCCATTACTTTTTTTTGTAACAGAGATTAGTGTATTATAAGTAGGAAGATTTTGTTACTAAAGTAACTATTATATATACTATATATAGTAGTACATTTTTAGCATGTGAGAGTGCAACTAGCCACATGTGCATCTTTTGAGTATCTATTTAAGTAGTCTGCTAAAGGTTCTACACTAGCTGCTGTACCTGTAACCCAACTAGAGAATTATCCATTTAAACTCTCTAGCATCTCAGTTCTGCACTATCTTATATTATGTCTACTAACTATACTCTTGTACTGCAACCTACCTAGTTAATATCCAAATAGTGACCACTCAGGTCAACATTCCCTACTGGCTTTACCTTGAATAGGCTAACTCATTAAAATTAATCATTGGTATTATCCAAGGAGGAGTGTAGTAGATGCCAGTATTGGTAAATGACTAGGTCATTTTATCTTTTTTTAAATAACCTTTGTCATTACATATATTACCTGTAGTCATTAGTCATTATGGTTATATAAGAAATAACAAAGTAATATAACAATTATGACTGTTTGTCACCTAGATTAGGTCATGATTAATATAACCTATATGTAGATTGACCAATGCACTTATAAGATTTTGTGTTGCACTTAAGCGGTATACAAAACCAAATATAAAAATATCTTTAACCTTAATAAGAAATTTGTGAATTGGCATTTACATATTATAGAGTTTAATACCATATTTACATTTTTCAACTAAATCATTATTACAGTGCCATGACTAGAACCAATTTTTTTTTATAATAAAGAAACTTTCTGTTACATTAGCATATTTTTTGTTATAATAGCATACTTTTTGCATATATTTTGTTATGTTAGTATACTTCTTTTTAAAGAGAAAATCTAACTATAAATATGTGTAAATATATTTATTTTTTTTAAAAAAAAAACATTACTATATTTAAAATAATTTTTTTTCTGAAAAAATGCCTCCAGCACTATATAAATTTTGTCTATATTTTGTACTTACTAAAAATATAAAAATAAAGGAAATGCAACTGCTGTATATCTTTGTTATATTAATAATTGTGATGGTAAGGTATAAGAAGCTAAATTAAAGTCAGTGTGTTGTACAACAAACAAGGCAAAGCTATGTCATGCATATTTGGCAAAGTGTGAAAATCTTAAAAAATCATTTCCTAAAAAAGTAGTTAATAAAATTCTTAACTTACTAGTGTTCTGAAGATTGTAATAGTAATTAAGTAAAATTAGAAATTTATAATTTACTAAAATATTTTTTAAAATTAGTTGATAGCGAATTTATTTCTTAGTCAACTAATGAAGAAAATCTTCTATCTCAAGCTTTAATTCTACTAGCAATTATCAAGAGCCTTCTTTTTCTTCATACTATTTTCGCCAAATGTAAGCAAATGATATATCAAAATTTGAGCAGTTATTTCTTAAAAAGATCATGTCAAATGATTTTGCATTTTCATTTGTAGAAAATGAAGATACCAAAGCATTATTTGAATTTATTGCATCTAGACTTTCTCTTCCTAATCGGAGGGCAATTGGTGATAGAATATTAATAAATACAGCTCAATCTCTTTAACAAGATTGTAAAAATTGCATCAAATGATAAATATGGTATTATAGCTACATTTGATGGATGGACTAATGTCAAATTGGAACAATTATGAAGCATTGTATTAATTACATCAAAGGGAAAACCTTTAGTTTGAGGTGCAAATAAAATAAGTACAGAACGATCTTATACAGATAATATTATTCAGTATATAGAAGAAATGATGGAAGATGCAGAAAAAAAAATATTAAAATAAAGATATTTGTTTCAGATTCAGCAGGCAAATATGCTGCAGCAAGGTAAAATTTCTAATAAAATAATTAACAGATTTTATTATATTCTAAATAAATTATATTTTTATTTTACAGACAGCAAATAAGAAGATTATATCCAGATAAAAATTTTTGCCTTGTATGTATGGCTTACCAAATGAACTTTATTTTTGATGAAATCTTTAATGAAAATGAATTATATTATTGAATATCAAATAAAGCAATTATATTAGTCAGCTATTTTAATAAATTAGTGTTTTTTACAGGTCATATTGTAATAAACAAATGAGACTTTATAACAAGCATATATATTTAATATCTCCAAGCAACACAAGATGAAACAGCAATTACTTATATTTTTATTTAATAATAAAAACCCAGGTATTATTAAAAGTAAAATTATAATATAATTTTAAAAAAAAATTAATTAATACTTGAATTAATATTTAATTATTTCTATTTATTTAATTTATTTCTATGAAATTTAACCCTTCTCAAATTAATATAACATATCAAAATGGAAAACTAGTAGATAAGTTATCAACTCAAAATGGTAATCAAAAAATTCCAGATAATGTTGCTGATACTATTATCAATTCTGAATTTTGGTCAAACCTTTTGTTATTACAATATATACTTTATTCTTTGTGTGGTTTTTTAAATAAACTACAAAAAGATACTGCACGATTGTTTGAAGTAGTAGATTGTTTTGCATCTACTATTAAAATTTTTAAAGAGCATCAAGTTTTAGATTTTGGCTCTAAAATAGTTAAAAGGATTGAGAAACGTTGGAAAGAGTGGGAGCACCCACTTCTTATTCTTTCAATCATTCTTCATCCAGATTATAAGTTAAAAAAGTTTCAATCTACAAATAATAATTTAACCTGGATTTATATAGGTCAATAGTTAAAATACTATTACAATGCATTCTTGCGCACTTATCCTTTATCAATTGTAGCTGAAATAATTTTATATAAACAAAGTAAAGATCCTTATGACTATGAAACTTTTTTACAATTTAATGTACATTTAATAAACTATTGGAATTCAACAGCCAGTATTGGATCAGAATTGGCAAAGTTACAATACATATTTATGGAGTTTGTATAAACTCTGCATCAGTTGAAAGGTTATAGAATAGTATGGGTTTTTTCATACAAATAAAAAAAATCGATTAAATGTAATAATATTTTATTTCATTAAAATTAAAACAATAAATATACTATTTTTTATATATTTAAATAATTATAGAATAAAAAGGCATTGGCAATGAGCCAAATTTGAAGTGATATATTTTACTATTGGAAAAAAAAAATGGCAAAAGAATTAGATACCAAAATCCAATATTTACATATGCCAATTTTTGAGGAAGATTTGAATAGTTTTTTACAGGTTAATATTATTAAGACAAATGAAAATATTGACAATGAAGATAATTTATCTTTAAGTGAACTTGATGAATCTTATTCTGAAGAACAAATACAAGAGTGGAATATATTTATAGAAGAATAGATTTGAACTATTGAATATAAAACAAAAGTGATGATTTTAATGATGAAATATTTTTAATTAATAAAATAGATAATAATTTTAATTTTGGTGGAAAATTTATACATTCTGCTGATGATTAAATGGCAAAATAGCTATTAGAAACATTATTTGTTTCTAATTTAGAATTACCAAATTATTAGATTTTTTAATAATCAGGTTTGTTATTTCTAATTATTTGTAATTTTATTATTTATTAAATTAAAATATAGTGACAAATAATTTATATAAGTTTAAATTAATGTTAGAACCAATTTTATTGCTAATTTATTTTGGAGTTTATACAATAGGTGAATGCATTTTGTGACAGTTACAAAGGTTAAAAGCAATAATAAAATTTGTAGTATGTAGAACAAGTTAGAAACTTTTATTATTAGAATTGTAACAATGAGTTTATTTTTTTATCAAAAATTATACTATTCAACATTTTATTTTAATTTGCATAAGTACAAGAATATACAAATTGTAGAAAAAGAAAATGATAAATAAATAATAGTATATTAAAATCAACAATTTTTAATTAAATATTTATCAAGTACTAGACATATAAAAACAGTAATATATGTGAAAAGTATCTAGTAAGTTTTAGATAAAAAACTATTTAATATTATAATACAAACTTTAGGGAAGTGCCATTTATTACGTAATTTTTTTTATTATAAAATCATACTCCCTCCCCCCTGTGATCTAATTAGTAGCCAATTACAATTTTTATATATAATATATAGACGTGATAGACTGGCAAACCTCTCCCTTTCCCTTAATATATTTTTAAAAAAACTCAAAATTTATAACAAATAATATTTAGAATTTATTGATTTAATTATTAATTAAGCAAAATATTTACCAACTATCTATATATGTCATATTAAATCATATAAATTAAAATGACTTAAAATAGCAATATAACTTATAACTTGGTCACTAAGTCATTTAAGTCACATCTGGTCATATACCAACACTGATTGATGCCCCCTAATTTTTAAACGTCCCACACACTTCTAGATTAGGATTCAAAGATATTATATCTTTAAACTTAAGTTAGTACTAGAGTGTTTCCCCATATATTCCCTGTTCTAATTGGTTCACAATAACCCCAGTACTCATGCTTGGAACTATCTTCTTATCCGAATTCTCTATCAGTCTCTCCTTTACTTCCAGCTAGCAACCCAGAAGTATTGGTCTGCCCAGGCTTTAAGTGCCTAAGGGATGCCCTCGCTTGATTTATACTTTTAAAGTATATGCCCTTTTTTTCTGGTGCAACAACCTAGCAGTTTAGCTAGTATGTCCTCTGCTAGTGAACCTAGTTGCTCAGTTCTCTAATCTCGGGCCCTGGTTCGAATTCAGTTCTCCTATAGTATTATCAAAGATCACTGTTACTTTCAAATTCAGGACTTTCCAAATAGGTTTTCAGTTATGCCAGTTTCTTGGATTATTGTACCAAAACTTTTAGTACTAAATGGTGTAACTGAAGTTACAGATTTAATTCTAGATTCAACTGATAAGCATAGCTGTTAACCATAACACAAGCATATTTTCCAAAATCATCGTTTGTGGAATTTGAACTCTAGACCTGCCACTTGGAGAGGGTAATGCCTAGACCACTACACTAAGTTGCCACACCTCATATTATTCAATACTACTTGCAGTATTTTAACATACTGCAATAGCATTATAATATTTAGATACTAATTCCCTGTCACACTAAGTATCACTTATAACTACCTTTATGATTATTTTTTACACATCATTAACTATATTTATAATAATTCCCTGTTGCATTATGTATCACTCATAACTACCTTCATTATTATTTTTTATATATCATTAATCATATTTATAATAATTCTCTGTTACACTAAATGTCATTTATGACTACCTTTATTATTATTTTTTATATATCATTAACTATATTTATAATAATTATATTGTGACCGGGAATCTTCCCATGGAAAATTCCCGGTCTTATATTGATCATTGGGAAACTCTAATTTTTAACGCTTAATTTTTCTTTTTCTTTTTTGTATTTTTCACAGTTTATCTAAATAACTTTAAAAGCCAAAGTAAATATACTCAGTAAAATGAAGCTAAAAAAGGCACAATAAGAGCAAAGTGAAAGTAAGTATTTGAAAAAAGTTAAATGTAGAAGTAAAATGCAAAGGTTATAAAAAAAGTATAGTAAAACAATAAAAATAATGTAGATAAAAAAAAATAAATAAAGCAAAGCCCAAAAGTTAGTAAAGCACAATATAAATATAAATATAATACATGTGTAAAAAAATTGTAAGGTAGTCAGATTAACATCTAGTGACATGCTTTTGGGAATTATTTATTTATTTTCTGTGCAGAAAATATAACAGAAGTTACCAATAATCATAGTATATGGATGGCCCTTTGGGCTATTTATATGCTATAATCATCAGTAACCTCTGTTATAATTTCTACTCCCCTAGAAAATAAATAATACAAATATATTATGATATTCTAATATAATGGCATTAAGGTATTACAACATTATGACATTACAACATTTTAGCACTATAGTATTATAGCACAAATTATTATGGCAAATACTACTGTACATGCTATAACTGTATTAATTTGTTAAATTAATTCTACTAACACTAGTTATGATACTGATTTGTTGATGCTAATAGGCATTAAATAAGATTTAATATGAACGAACATACTACACATTAACCACTTTTTGTAGTATAACCACCCTACCAGTAATTTAAAATTTTTTTTTAAATACTTTGTTTTTAAAAAAAATAATAAAAAATAAAAAATCTATATATTAAAATTTTTATCTTCAGCATGTCTGTCTGTGGCATAGTTTTTTTATACAGTATTTGTTCTGCATTATGTTTGAAAAGGCACCAGATTGAAATGCATATCATAAATATAATAGCGAGACAAACCAGACAAAACAATAAACCATTATATTGTTTGTATTCTTTTCAATTTAACAATTATAGAGATTCATTTAATTCTCACATCAAAAGTCTATTGCCAAAAGCAAAATCAATAAAACTGCAAAATTTTTTTAATTAATAAATATCATATTATACCACATTAGCACATGTTTCTATTTCTAACATTGAGTTAAAGATTAATATAAAAGAATATTGCACATGTAAATTATGTGAATTGGATATATTATTAAAAAGACTAATATATATATTAGTGATAGGCATATCAGCAAAAAAAAAAAGATTTTTTATGAAATTTTGATATAAAATACAAACTTCCATAATCAAAATAAGAATGATTTTATAATACAAACTTTCTCATTCTAACACTAACTATAAAGAGCTATTAGATGATTATTTTATTTTATTTACTATATACTGTTTCATGATTTGCTAAAACTCATATGACTGCTGTCTTCTTTCAAGATGACAGTAGGTCAACAAATTGAAAAGACTGCTAAGCAGTGATGCATTAGTAAGTGACGATCACATGGGTGATCCGACTCCAACAAGAGAATTCAGTATATGTAAAAGGGAAGATAAGTATAAATTTAATGAAATTGCTTTAGGAGCTTATGGCGCAAATACTAACTAATATATCCAAAATAACATACAGAAATAAAACGGAAGAATGGCAAGGCAGCATGACAGCAATCCCTTCAAAAGGCAAATCAATTTCACACTCTGCCCTACCCTCCCTCTGCAGAATCCTGCTATTTTGTGGCAGCTTAAATATCTCTTTCAGCTGGCCTGTGGGAAACCATCAGCTAAGATCATGTGACTACAAAGCTTCTGGCTAACAGCCATCCTGCATTTATACAGGTGGGAAGCCACTAGCTAATTCCAATTATATATCAAACGCACTGGTATATTTCTTTCAATTATACACCAAACGTACTGATATATGATGTATGCTATAACTCTTTAATAAAGTTTGAATATCCAGCGCAATTAGCGCTAGAATGCATCATAATTATGCACAAATTTATAGTATGATTCTGTTCTCTGCCTAGATCTTCCGTTCCTGGTTTTGCGCGATGACATCGCGCAGCTATCTAGTTATAATAAATTTAATGATGTTGTGTCATTGGAATAGTAAGTTCCATACCAGGATTTTTTATAGTAACTCATAATACTGTAGAAAACATGATAGTTCTAATACAAACTTTCACAACCTTAACCACATATTGTATGGCACCAAGCTCTGAAACAGAATTTTTTACAGTGCCTTATTATAAAAATCACATTATTTCAATGCAAGTTAACCACGTACCACGTGTCAACAGAATAGCAAATGGGTTTTGTAACGTCACCAGAATAATTTATATAACAGGATTTTTTACAGTAGAAATCCAATGCAAACTAACTATAACCTATAGGTCCA